ATGACATTCAGCAGATTCGTGAACAATGGGATGCGATCCTGACTGAGTCCAAATTAGTAGCACAGAATATTGGCATTTCTTCTGAGTTCTCCACCAATTGCAACTTATCTACTGAATCCGATGCCAACCAGCATTATAGGGTCAGTGTCTTCCTTGTTGTCATTGACTCTATTCAATCAGGTCTTACATGTCGATTTGAGTCACTGAGACTAATTTGTACCCTTTTGGGGTGTCTTTGGCAGTTCAACAGAGTGAGAATTGAAGATCTACTTTCTGCAGCTGAACAATTTCAGCAACAGTACAACAAAGAAATCTCAAAAGATCTCAGTGACGAGGTCATCTTCCACTAACGAATATATTTGACGAACTTTAAATTGGATTGCAAGCCAAAGGAATTGCTTCAAGAAATACTCAAACTTGGACTCTCTGGAGTGTTTCCAAATATCACAATTGCACTGCGTATTTTTGTCAGTTTGCCTGCATCAGTGGCTTCAGGTGAACGCACCTTCAACGTGTTGAAGCAGGTAAAGAACTATCACCGTTCAACAATGGGACAACAGCATTTGAATGGGCTCACCATGCTTAATATCAACTGTGACATTGCACAACAGCTAGATTTTTTCCTCAATAATTAGTGTATTGATTTGCACAGAAAAAGGCTATAAAAGTATTTGTTAAATAAAAAAAAATTAAAATTATGTCTCACTCTTTTTTGGGTGCCTTATTTTGTTTTCATGTGTCATCATTTTAAATTTTTATTATGGCTAGGGGCCTCAAAAGCTGGAAGTGGTCCAGGCCTCTCTGGACCTCTGAGAGGACCTGACCATAAGAAGTCCCATTGTAATAAATGCTATCCAACATGAGCGCAGGTAAAGCAATCTGGTCCTATATGTTTGCAAAGCGACTAACCCATTGTTGGAGAGTACTGCAATATAAAGAAAAATAACTTTCAAGGGCCCCGCATCTGCTGAAGTAAATGGCAGAATTCACAGTGACTTCAGGGAGCAGGAGCAGGCTCTCAGTTATCTGGCTCTTAAGTCTCCAGCATTAGAGACAGGGCTTTTTAAAATCTAAGGTTGTATTAATGCTGCACTCAGGACCCGGTTTCATCTTTAAAACATGAAAGCTCCGAATGCAGCAATTGTTTGTGCACCGTGCACTGTGTTGCACTTATTCCCGGACAAGCAAATTACAATGAAAATAATCATTGTCAGAATACTAATGTGATGTAAACTAATGTAGGGATATTTATTCAATGGAATGCAATTACTAGGAATACTCTATTTTCTGAAGAGTGTGACTGTAATCCAATTTAGCTTTTTTAACCCCTGGTGATTTTGTTTCGGTTTGGATTGTGATAGGCTGAAAAACAGGCTGGGGGCAGAGAAAGGGGAGTTAGCACCACATGTAATCTGAAATCTTAATGACTTGACTAAATCTACATCACCACAGGGCAGTTAGTCATGATTGTGCTGTTAATTGAATGAAAAACAGAGTAGATCCTGTGCTCATTTTATATTAACATCATTTCACTTTCTGATGAATGAATATTCACCAGCTTAATCATCGACATCTCATCATAGCTGGCTTTACCTTAAACCAGTGGTTCTCAAACTTTTGTACTGCTGACCCCTTTTACATAGCAAGCCCCTGAGTGCGACCCCCCTCCTTATAAATTAAAAACACTTTTTATATATTTAACACCATTATAAATGCTGGAGGCAAACCAGGGTTTTGGGTGGAGGCTGACAGCTCACGACCCACCCTGGAATAACCTCGTGACCCCCTGAGGGGTCTCAACCCCCAGTTTGAGAACTCCTGCCTTAAACCTATCAGTAGGACCGTGGATTGCAGACAACAGAGACCGGATCTTCTGAGATGCAGCATCAAGTGACGATGGACAAGGTACAACACAGGATGCATGACTTGGTCAAATGGGCTCAGCTGCAGCAGTGTTCTTGATGGGTGGGGTTGCAGCAGTGTCTGATGGGAAGAGGCCAGCTTCCCTCCTTCGGAGACAGAAGGATCATGGGAGGAGAAGGGAGGGGCAATTCCTTCCAGAGATGCTGCTGCAGCTAATTAGGAGGCTAAACACCGAGGACCAGATTCTGGTACGTTCATTCAGGTTGCATAATTCCTTACTCCACAAGGAGTCCTGGTGAAATGAGTGGCGCCACGGTAGGAGGGAGGCATTATTCAGCATGAGTAAGGGCGTCAGAATCTGGCCCCTAATAAAATGATACACGTGTGTGAAAAATGTAATTGCCTAAGGCCGGACTGCGGGAACACTGTGACCCAGGGACCTCTTGATACTAATTGAGAGGGCATGTGGGAGGGAGGGAGTGATAAGGACTACAGGGATCTCCTGGGTCTGATATTATACAATAGGTCATAAAGGGTGGCAGGAAAGTTCTCCACTGAAAGCCTGTGTCACACCAGTCATCCTAGTCATCGTGAAAGGTATGTCTGGGAGTAATATATATATATTGAAAATTATGTCCTTGAGGTCTGTTAGCTGACGCTGATCACCAAAAGGGAAGTACTATCATGGATGGATATAAACTGTTCAGGAAGGACAGGCAGGGCAGAAAAGGTTGGGGAGTTGCGTTGTATGTAAGAGAGGAGTATGACTGCTCAGAGCTCCGGTTT